AAAAGTGGGACAAAAAAATCTAGTATGACAGCTGGACTTATTTCAAACCTTGACAATCTATACATTAAAATGAAGCATAATACCCATAGTTTTTGGATGTAGTCTGTGTTCATTTATTTCCATTTAGAAAAACCCACTCAAAATATTAATAAATGCAAACATAGCATCATTGGAATTTATGATTATTAGTATTTTTCATATATATTTACTGTAAATAGTTTCTTTTTACAGTGAAAAACAGAATCTTTAGATTTTAAAACACTTTCTTTTTCAGTCAGAGATACAGAGATAGATATGATCAGTCAGTTACAGCATGAGGATGTGGAAATATATTTCATAATTATATGCCAATATTAAGTCAATTTGATACTTTAAAGGGACAAAAGTTACATTGCCAAGTAATATTAGGTTATATATTATATTATTTGCCAACCATGCCCACTCCTGGTATTGTATCTGAATACAGATGGAGAGAGATTATTTTGTTGGTTAAACAAGTACAAATACAGATAGTGATATCTCAGTACATCTCTACAAGTAATCTCTTTCATATTACACATACATAAAGTATCGATTAGTGCATCTTAAATTTTGAAGGAGTTAAATACTTTTTTTGAACAAAATCTGGTGGATTTTTCTGACTGGATTGAAGAGCAGACCTCATTCAACATTTTTCACAGATAGGACTGCAGGCGGGCAGACTAGAGCACAGTGATTTATTGAAAAAAGTAAATAAATACATCACGGGATGTGAGGCAGACAAGAGTCGACACCAACAAAGCTGACAAGGGGCAGGAATCCACGTAAAATCCAAAAAACTATAGCTATAATTAAGGTTGAAAAATAATTTAACTCATGGGCCAACTCCCTCGCACCATATGTCGGATTGACTTGAAATTCAACACACATGTCCAGCACGTGCTTCTTTAATGATTTTATTGTGTTCTGAAAAGGTGGATGGATGGGTCTCCAGTGGTGTTTCAAAGGTGGGATGAAAATCAACCCAAATTCCTACGCAATGATGAGAATTGTGCTGTCATGACTACATATACAGGTGAATAACTTAAAAGTCACTGATCTTTACTGGCTTACTTTCAGATAATTAATCTGATATTCTTTACCTTTCAGATGAAGAATAATCTGAGATTAGATTTTGGATGTAAAAATGCACATTGTTTTTTCTTAAATACTTGTTTAATATTTTGGGTTGGCTTACAGGGTTCTGGCATGTTTATAATTGTGGGCAAGAGCACAGGTCCGTTTGTAAACGCAGTGAATCACCACCTGCCAACGCCACTGTACCACCAACAGTTATTCCAAAAGGTGGCTGTCCACAAAACTGGGAGAAATTTAACTCAAAGGTCAGAGGTCATATTTAATTATTATTGTTGATTTGCGGGATGGGGAAACAACTGGTGGTGCATGAAAAGGACATTCAATATGACAATGTATTAACCTATATTTTGATAAAAAAAAAAGCTACTACCCTTTTGAGACAAAGCTGTTGATTTTATGTTCCTATAGTGTTACAACATCATTACCAACCAGAAGGAGACGTGGTTTGGAGCGAGGGCACAGTGCAAATCAATGGGAGGAAATCTCGCCTCAATTCTCTCCAGAAAGGTGCAAGGTATGTTTTGTGTTTTTTTATTTTTTTTTAAAAGAAAACAATAATTTTTATATTCCTGAGAAACGCATATCATGCATATTTCATAAAAATGTCAATGTCTTCTGGATATCCAAATGAAGTCAGCTGGAGACAACAGGCCTAATTATTGAACAATTGCAGTTTTTTATTGACAAAGGTTTGCGCTATTTTCCTTAATCCAAAATATTTGACTGCAAGCATACGGTTTATATATGGTTGTATAGAGTACATATGGTAGATCTGGATACTTGAGGCATTCATGGTTTAGCCAGTAAAACCAAAACTATTAATAATGAAAGAGTGTGCAAATCCTAGTGTGCAGAAGATGAAATTTTGTATGATTAAAGTTGTTTAGTTAGGTGATCAATGTGTTTTGTTCTCAAATGCTTAAGTGAGACGTGACGCCCATGTCAAATAGTCTTCTGGAAGTTATAGTTATAGTTATAGTATGTTGAACATGTGGTTTGTGATATCTGTAATCCAGAATAATAATAATTACTTCACAGTGACATTAAATTGGGATTTAACAAGGTATCAGTTACATAAATAAAACATTATACTACAAAATAAATCAGAAGGGATCACGGCAGAAAGATTGTGAAACACTAGTCTCGCATTATCAGACCTATCTCCACTCCTTATTTTAGCACTGTGTCAGCGCTGGAGGCAGACCTGACTAAACCCATCATAATTCCACACTAAGGAAAAAGAAAACAATCTAGCTTGTTTCTATTTCTTGAAACTAATTATAGTCATCTGTTGGCTAAGTCCAGGATACGACCGTGCCATTCCAAAATAGTCTTGATAGAGAGAGGAAGGGTAGGAGAATTCCTTCTGAATTAATTGCCCAATAGCTGGCTCATACCCTTTTTCCATTAAAATTTGTGGCTTAGTGGGCAAAGCAGGCGCCCCATGTACAAGGCTGTTGCCGCAGAGGCCCAGGTTCGAATCCAGCCTGTGGCCCTTTGCTGCATGTCATGGGTCGCTCATCTGCCAACTATGTTGAGCGCCTTTTGAGTTAACCTAATAGCCTTCTTATTACCACATAATATCATGGCATGAAGACATGATGACAGGTATTATTTATGATGACTTATACTGTCAGCAATGAACACAAGATTAAAGACCAGTCGAGGAAGGAAGCTCAAATATTCATATGGTAAAGTTTATAACTGAATGAAGTCTCTAAAGCAGAATGAGAGTGGCATGCTGCAACACTGATTATCCTTCAGTAGGAGTTTTATACAAATTGCAAAAAGGCACTGTTAAGTGTTGTTTTGCTTTGTAGATTATCAGTCCATAGTAATTTTCTCCTGGAGGACGTCAAGAAAAGTCTAAGGCAAAAAATGAGGTTAAACCACACTAAGTTGAAAAATCACTAATTCCCTAGGGTGAACATAGTCAATTTACTGAACAGGTGCCCATTAGCGCCGACTAATGCCATAGTGCCTGACATACCACAGAATCTCCACTTGTCATGCTGCATCTAGCAGTGAATCAGACTAAACTGGCTTGAGTCACCTGACTGACCAACCAACTACTTTAGCTATCATTAAAGCTCCACAGTCACAACATTGGGTATTACCATGTAAAATGTAAACCACTGTCCATTCAGGTAATGTTTTCTGCATTCTTTAATTGTGCAGTTTAAGAAGACCCATATACTGATCAAGGACATCTGAGAAATATGTAGTTTATTATAATTTATTTCGATATTATATATTTAACTGGGGAACAAATAAAAAAATCAATGGTATGATCAATATGTGTTACATTTTCAGTGTTTTTGACTTCTAAATTGGCCAAGCCACCTACCACAGCCCTGTGGATTGGTTTGCATAGTGCACGTGGCACTCCATTTCTCTGGACTGATGGGCGACCAATGCGATACAGCTACTGGGGTACTGAGGTAAGTGGACAATGTGATATTTTTTTATTATCAAGTACAAGAGGTATGTGCTGAAATACAAAAAAAAGGACTACTTTTTGATAACTGTTTCTAATGAAAATGTGAATCTTCCTCTGATGCAGCATCGCCATCCTAATTGGAGTGATTAAAGACCCTTTTGGGGTAGTTAAAATGTTTACTGTACATGAGGCCTAACTATGTCAACTTAGGGGCTAAAAAACTGAGGTTATGCCTCAAGTACATACTATCTTTATTATGTGTTGTGATCAATTATATGCATCTGTATTGTTTATAATACATTTTTTGGGCTGTACTGTGAATTATTTCTGACATCCTGGTTTTCCATTGCAGAGGACACAAATGATTCACAGTTATCACAGCATATATTATGACAGTGAGGTAAAAACTTTTTTATATACTTTGATCATAATGTGCAATACCACTTCATTTGTGTGGACTTAGAGCTGACACACATCACACTTCTATGACAAATTGCGTTTGTGTCTCTTGTCTCTTTGTTTACAATTTTGATGAATTATATGCATCTACTTTGTTTATTATATATTTTCTGTTTGTGTATTCATACAAATTTCTGACATCCTTATTTTATATTGAAGATGGATTATGACCATTTTCATCGGCCATCACGTACTGAGGTAATACTTCTTGACACATATACAATTCAACTTTACTTGTCTTGACTTGGATTATTGGTTATTTTGTGAATATATTAATATGACTATGTCTAAATAAATAAAATCAGTGCAGGTGTTACAAATACCAGTAACAATGTCTCTGTTCTATTCAAGTGACAGTAAACAAGCCTGCCTTGATACCAGGAACCTGAAATCAAAGCATCTAAATGTTTGACCATCATTAATTCTATTATTTACACCTGTGCCATTTCTACTATGGCAAGTCAAAATATCTTCCATGAAAAAGACCATAGTAATTTTTCATGGGAAAGGTGCTGTCATTAACCTGGATCGTACCATACTTTGCCCTCTACCTCAAAATTGCTGTGTTTTACCAGAAAAATTGTGCTGTGATGACTACTGACACCACCAGTGGAATTGGAAAGTGGATAAAAAAGAACTGCAATGACACCAATGGATACATCTGTCTTCGAAATGTTGGTGAGTCTATCCTCAGCCCTTTACTTGAATGCATTTTTGAGGCGTTTAAGATGCTCAGGAACTCACAACTTTTTGCACACGCATCAGAGCGGGTGGAAAATTTGATATTTTATGGGTGGCGTACCCAGGTGTGACAAAATGGTTCAATAGCGCCCTCTACAAATTTTTAAATGAAGTCGCCATCATGATATATTACATTTTACATTTTACATCTAAAGACTTACAAAAACTCTCTTGGAGCCATACCCTAAGTTATAAGTTAATCTGTGCTTTCTAAGATAGCAAAGGCATGACCCTCTGCCGATTGGCTTACCCTGACATTCTTACCCTAACCCTAACCAGTCCCACTCCTCTTGCCTAAACCTAACCAATCCAGCCAACAAAGGCAAGGAATACTAGCCAGTTAGAAGGAAAGTAAGACTTGTCATGCTTTCGCTATCCTAGGAAATGCAAATTTGCATAACCTAATCACTGGGAGACTCTCTAAAACCACGGGTTTCACCCAGGGTTGTTACCTCACGTCCTGCGTCACACAGAAAGTTGTGTGCCTCATGTGCGTTCTCTTATTGGGTCGGCTAATCACTTTTTTGATAAGCTAGCGAAGCAGTGACCTAAAAAGTTGTTTATTAATCTAATCTTTGCCTTAATCCCAAGATAAACCTTCAGGAGACCTCACACCTGATTGTAACTTCAAACAGACATGATTTTTTATTTTTTTGTGATCATTGATTTTTGAAGATACACTTAGACTTTTGCCCTTTGTACCACTGGCATGGCTGCAACCACAACTAATGTTAGACCTCTCCACAGGTTGTCATATGACTTGTACCTGACTGCTGATAAATTCTCATATTGACCATCATGACGTTACACTGAAAATATGTACTACTAAACAGTAGAATATAAAGTAATGTCTGTTCAGATAAGCTTCAGGCTACAAACCAAATACACTCTACTCTCCTCACTTCCCTACCTCTATTGCCTCTTCTCTGGTGGACACAGCATAAGGTTCCACACATAGAAATAAAATTCATTTTATTTTTATGGTTCCACACCAAAAGGTTTCTGTTCCATCTATTTGAGGGTCCTTGGCATGGAAAAGTTTAGGAACTCCTTGCTAAACTACATTTCAGTTGGGGCAATAGCCAGAGGCAGTACGTGTTGCAAGTCCTTGGGTCTCATAATTTGGATATGCTAGTGTTTGTCAAAACACATCATTGAAAGTAACTGACAGCTCTATATTACATAAAGGTACCCAGCCCATGTAAGCTGACAAGGCACACACAGGAATTATTTTCATGTACACAGATGCAAGAACAAATATACAAATTGTAGGAGTACTTTCTTATAATAACAACAATCCACTACAGACTTTACCAGTGTGTTGACAGATGGTATGTTCTACCTGAAATAGATTTCGGCACATTGTGGGCAGGATCAGAAACACTCCCTTGGGCTGCAAGATAACAGAGAAAACATCCATGTCACGACACAGTTCTATGCTAGAATTTCTTTCCTGTTTACTTACAAAATAATCAAACCTACTTATAAACCCTGTAAGTTTGAGTCTGTGATCAGATGTGAGTATTCAAATTAAAAAGGTCACGATTCAATAGCCTTACTATATATACAGATTATATTGTTTGCCAATGTACCTTAGCTGTAGAAGCTCTTCTACAAGGTGCTTTGCCATGCTGACAGGCCAGAATGACTCTCAACTTACTCACTCCCAGAATGTAAATTTAACAACTATTGGTAAGCTGCAATCTACTTAAAATTGGCAAACTGAATTTGGGATTATATGATTTAATGTTTAGTCAACCAATTTAATGTTACCATTTAATGTTACCAAGCACTCTGCACGTAATGTTAAGGGTTGTTCACAAAGGAAACCTGTTAGTGTAAAATTATCTTAGCTGCACAATAAATTTCAACCAGTATTTGCATGGCACATGGTGTTGGGCGCATGATATGACATTCTAAATTTTAGCATGACTGGATAGTGAAAATTAAATGTAATAATCTACATTATTTGCATAAAACTAATGTAACTCACCCTCCATTTGCTGAGGGGCTTAGATGGTCACAGAACTAGTACATAGATATGAACTATTACCCATGAAACCTTGCGCAAACATATACGCTAGCTATTGCTCACTGTGCAGTGCTTATTCATAATGGCAAGGTAAAATAATAAGCTAACATTTATGTACTATTGTATTATGCACTACCTACTACTGTGTATGGACATTCTTGTGGGCCCCAACTGATCACTTTGTAACTTTTTGAACAAGAGACTTTGTCACACCCTCCACCTTAGAAACTACCGGCAAAAGTTCAGTGAGGGAGGCTAACGCACCTAGCCATGCTACAACTACTTCTGACTTAGCAGTTACAGGCAAACACAAACGAGAGAAGCCCTGAAAATATTCAGGGAATTATCTCATGGCCAAGTTTTTTAAAATATATATAGTAGGGGGTCCCTGCTCTGTACCTCTTTGAGCTAAGAGGTCCTTGGCCTGAAACACATTTAAGACACTTGTCCTAAACTCAACAAAAGTCAGCCTTAAAGGATTTTATGTGGATTTTTGTCCATGTCCGGGCACTGTACTCATTTATTCATTCATTCCGGGGGGGGGGGCTGGAGCCTATCCCAGGTGACACTAACTTGCATGTCTTTAGATTGTGGGAGGAAGCCAGAAAACCCAGAGAAAACCCTCGCTGATAGACTTGCACCGATTACAATTATTTGGGTTGATACCGATTTCCAATTTGCAGAGTGTTTGGATGGCCAATCCTGATTTTGGCCAATTCCGATTTCATTTTTTTCAAACCACTTTACAGCACACAAGATATTGCAGTATTTTCTATCTTTTCTTGATGAGATCATTTCAACCAAGATACAACCAGCTTTTCAATAATCATCTCAGACAAACAAACAAAAACAGTGACACAGGTTAAGAAACATTTTCCTTTTTGCTCAAATATTACTTCAGGTATAGTATTAAAATAAATAAGTAAAAAAGGCATACATAAATAAAAACATAGATAAATAAAATAGTAATTATTGGTGTACAGCATTTATTGGTCATTTCTTGAATAGACAAAAAAGTAAAAATATCTCCTGTGGAAATTTCACACAGGTCTTCAGAATGCGCCTGCCAGTAAGCGTGCGGACACACGCCTCGTCAATTTCAAGCGGCTCATGTTACACGATGTCAATCATGCAGCGCGGCAGAAGTTTGACCAGCGTTTTAAATCGGCATATTTTAGACTGACCGGTGGTCACAGGTCAAGGCCGATCACGTAAAATCTGGCCCGATTCCGAGCACTGCCGATTAATCATTGCAAGTCTACTCGCTGACAAAGGAAAAACATGCAAACTCCACAGAGAAGGGCACAGTTGGTTGATTCAAACCCTAAAACCCTTTAACTGTGAGGTGACAGTGCTAACCACTGCACCACCCTGCCTGTGGAGTTTTTGTGTATTTTGGGGCATTTCCAGGCACTGTACTTTAACAAACTCCTTCTAGAGAATTAATTACATCCACTTTAAATTTGGTCAGTGCAATCTTAAGACCCAATGATGAAAAACTGTTCAAATCTTGAGTTTTTGTGGAATGATGTTGCCATTGCATGGCAGCCATTTTTCATGTTTCACTATAAAACAGTTCTTGTATGTATTGTGAGTGTACATTGTCCAATCCTTCCCAAATTTCTTATTCTTGATAGGAGTTCCAGCCACAAGATGGTTATAGCCATAGCGCCACCTACTGGCAACAAAAATTGACTTGTTTTATACTTAAACTCCCTTGAGGATTAATCAGACCTATGTCAAATTTGGTCAGAACAATCTTAAGACCTTAATGTTGAAAAGCCAGAACAACATTGCTTTGGCATTGAAGCTATTTTGTGCATTTCAACCTGAAACAGATAGTTGCACTGTCCAATCTGTCCCAAATTTCTTATGCTTGATAAGACTCTACATGTCTTTCTAAAGTCAAGGTTATTTTGCCACCCACTGACAAAATAACCTGAAATTTATATGTGTGGTGTGTGCTTTATATACAGCAACATAATGTGTGTTTAGTGTGTGTTTTCTAGTGCCACATAGTGTACACAGGAAGTCAAAGCAAAACTTGCAATATGTAGATTCTAGTGCCAACATTCCCCAGAGATCAAGATTATGATTTCAACAGTGCAAATTTAAGACAAGTTGTACTGGGTTTTAATACCAGGCTGATTCAAACAGGACAGTGAAATGGAATAAGTGAGTAATTTTATTCTTCTCAGGAAAGCAAAAAAGGACAATAACTCTTGAACATCCATACAAGAGAAATCCTGCTTTCAAGATGAATTGAAAAACTAAATTTGTCTAATTTCTCACCCTAAACAGACCCATCTCTCCCAGACTCCCCTGAACCAACAACTCCTACAGGCTATGTCAAAATATTTAATGACTCTATCAAGGTTGTAACTCAACAAATGAGCTGGAATGCAGCCAAAAAGCACTGTGAAGATGATGGTGCCAAACTGGCTAGCCTGCGAAACACATGGACACAGTTGTATGCTGAGCTGATAGCTTTGAATCTCGAAGCTCCTCTGTGGATTGGACTGAACAAAAAGGAGGTACAGAGCAAATGGCCTCTCAAACTGATTCTTACCTAAGAACTGTTTTCTGTAATTGTTGAAATTAAGTTATTTTTAAACTATAAATATTAATTACAAAAAGTACATTTATGTTATTTTTGGCTTTTAAGAGGCAAAATGTTTTCAATGCTTTTGCTGATTATGTAGCACTCTGGACCATATTTTGAATTAATGATGTTTGATCAATCTTTGCTGTCAGACTGGCGGATATTTCAGATATATTGATGGCTGGCGTATGACCTCAACCTACTGGAGTGGATGGGAACCACGCAGTAACCGAGACTGTGTGTTTGCGAACACACAAGGACAGTGGGAAACTGCTGACTGCAATCGGAACATCAGCAGCATTTGCATGAAGTCTACAGGTGAGGCTTATGTAAATTTTAATAAATTCCTATCCGACTCTTCCTAACATAGCCTATATGTTAGGTATGTTTCCATTAACATCCCCTACAACTAGAAAAGCAATGCTAGCAGACAGTCCCATTCTTATGCATAACTCTCTCCAGTGCTGACGTAGCCGACCGGCACACAGGAAAGTAGCAGGTGGGTCTTCCAACTCTAGTGTATTAATTTGTACTCGTCACAGTGACTTAATTGCACGCCATTCTGTTTGTTTTGCCAGCGTCAACATTTGTTTGTGTTTCATGAGACAGGACCACAGATATTGATCTATATCTCATAATTATAGACTTTGATCCTCTGCTTGCCCGTCCCGTGTCCAAGGGTATTGGTTTCTAGGCTATGTATTTGCTCTATATCATTACACTATTATAAATATAAGCAGGGGATTTTAATACAAAGTGGAAACCACTGAATTTAAATGCATAAATGGGTCAGACCTGCACACAACAGGATTTGAAACAAACTGTAACAACCTGGAGCTTCTGTGTTTTCATTACCTGCTTTGAAACAACATGACCCCCATTCATTTAAAATGCCTATTCGTTCTTCTGAGGACATTTTGGTGAAAACAACGCAAAAGTAGTGTAATAAGTAACTTATTTCTCTACACAGAGAGTAATATTGTAAGTAACTTGTAACTTTCATAGAAGGTATCTAGTGATATGTACTATATTACATTTTGAGAGTATCTTGCTGTTACTGATGAACCTGTTTACCTGTGGATTGCTCCAAACATTACACAAACTCTGCCAGTCTTTTGTTGCCCAGTCCCAACTTTTTCGGAATGTGTTGTGGGCACTGAATTCAGAATGAGTGCATATTTACAAAAAACAATAGCTGTCAGTTTGAACATTGATATCTTGTCTCTGTATTGTATTCAATTGAATATATGTTGATGTTACCTGTTTGGAACATGGTTGCATGTGTTCCCATTGTACTTTGCTTTAGATGTGACATCGTTTTCTTGTTATACAATATTGTCAAATGGTGCTTACGGCAGTTGGATTTGAAAGCATGTACTAAATAATGATTAGTTTTTCTCATTCACAGATGTGCCACCAACAGAGCCAAGTGATTTCCCAGGATTTTGCCCTGAAGACCCAGAACAACCCAGATACTTACGGCGGACTAACAGCTGGCTACCATTTAAGGCTAATTGTTACCTCATTTTTACAGACAGGATTGAGTGGCAAGAAGCAACCACTAACTGTGCAAGACATGGTAAAGATTCTCCATGTATGGTATAATCGATATCCTGAATCAGACAGCTGTGTTTAGCTTTTACTAAAGACAAATTGTTTTCTTGTTTGTTACTTTGTTTCTAAAGGTGGAACTCTTGCAAGCATTGAAGATCCTTCTGAGCAAGCATTCATTCTAAGCAGTATACAAATGTTTCGAGACAGCCAATCATCTTTCTGGATCGGCTTATATAAAACTCACAGAGGTACAGTCGCATTGTCTGATCTTTTATGAAAAGACACATTAAGCTACACTTGAACATAAATAAGGAAAACTATGTTAAACAGATGTTCTGAAACATAAACGTTACAAAAGTAGCTTAATTATTAATTTCCTACCTAATAGAGAACTGAAAAAAGGCATGGTAACTTCAGTATGTTTGGTCAACAACAAATGGAGAATGAACCCAAATCAGCCTCACTGGCCAAATACACTATGCGTGCACATACACATACATGTTTTTTTGTTGTTTTTGTGTGCTGCTGTGTTTCCAGCGGATTTTAGGCACCAAATGTGGGTGTTTTGAAGCAACCCGTCACTGTTATTCCAATGACTTTTTTAGCAACCCAGCCCTGTTTGTCCAGCTGCTTTTTAGGGCCGAACAGTTGTTTTTACCAAGACAAAGCTGCTTTTCCTGCTGGGAGTGTGGCCCAAAACGTGGTTGTTTTTTACAGAGACATTGCTTCTTTTCCCGCCAGGAGACTGCCTGGAAAAGGGGTTATTTTTCATAGACACAGGATTCTGCCCCCCAAATAGAGTATTTCTGGCCAAAACATGATCTTTTCCCAACCATAACCAAGTTTTTGTGCCTAAACCTGACCACATGTTAACTACAGCGTGTTGAAACATTAAGTTTCAATGTATCAGCTACATGATAACCTGCAAATGTAACGTATCCATGGTTTACAGAAATGTATAGTCCTAACATTTTTTATGGTGGTTGGGTTGGATGTTTTCTGCTCATTTTGTGACTCTGGAGGTGTATTATTCCCAAAGTGAGGGCAGGTTGGCACCAATGATTTTTTCTGCAGTCGTGACTGTCCGTTATAGTTTGTTCCTGTCCTTGGTGGCCACACTGTGATGATTGTGCAGAGAACAGACTATTGCAATTGTATCAGTAGCTACTCAGACAGGTTGTAATTCTTGAGCTAGCACAGAAACCTCTGCTAAGCCTTTTTTTCGTAACGTGTCAGTGTTTGATGTCCACTGTAGATCCCGGGAGATGGTGGATCCCAGAAAGCTGAGGGTTTTCCACATCTTACACTTTGTAGTTCAGAATGGAGTAAAGGTGTCACCTCCTCATTTTTAAGCGTGCTAAGCTCCAGGTTATATGAATAATATATATAACATAACTGTCAGGTACACAGCTCACACATCTATAGACACAGCACACACAGGCATGTGTCAGGGAAGACCACAACAGAGGGACTCAAACACTACTGAATAACAGTAGGTTTTGAGCCTGGACTTAAAAGAGTCAATGGATGGGGGCGGATCTGACTGGGAGGGGGATGCTGTCCCACAGTTTGGGGGCAGACACAGCAAAGGCACGATCAGCCCTGCGCATAAGTCTGGAGCATGGGACAGCCAGGAGCCCCAGGTCAGCTGACCTGAAGGACCTGGGCGCAGAATAGGGGGATAGAAGGTCTGCGATGTAGGATGGGACCAGACCATTAAGGGCTTTGTACACAAACAGGAGAACCTTTAAGTAATATAGTTCCCTCAGTCAAAACACAGCAAAGAGGAAACTATTCATTGGATTTACATTCATCCAATAGCCAGTGACACATCTGCAATGCTAATGTTGTTCTGTATTTGCTGTTGGGCAACTGTCTGCTAACGTGTTTGGTCATAACAAACTACATAAAAGTGATAACATATTAGTTTTGTGTTTACAGCTTGTTCTGCTGCTCCCGAGTGGTCTTTGGGTTCAATACACAAAGTAAAAATAATAAAGGAAATACTAAGTTATAGGTTATAGAGGCACATTTGGAAAAAAAATGTGTTGCAAAATATTATTTCTGTGCAAACTGAAAGAAAAGATATTGAGTATCAAATTAAATAAACTTAATCTGGTACAAAAAGAAACTTTACAAGAAAAGAAACTCACAGAATTTTTATTAGTCCCCAGGCACTTGGCAGTGGTTGGATAAAACCCCCCTGGACTATACTAACTGGGGTGAAAGTCCAAATGGGAGAAACACTTTTGGATCCATAAGAGCTACAGATGGGATGTGGACAACTGGCCAAAAGTGGTATGACAGAGGATATATTTGCAAAGCACCCAAAGGTGAGATCATCACAGTTGTTAGGATTCAGTTTGAATTAAAGGAATTATTTTACAATAACAGGAATGTGTTTTTAAAAAAAGTGTTGAAACACATATTAAATCAAAAATAAATGCATTTATTGATTTTGATACTGAAGTATGAAGTCAATGACATGACAGAAATTATACATTCTTTGTTAAGTTGTTAATGTTTCTTTAAATATCTAGAACTATTAAAAGGGACACGGACAACGGGTAAGTAACATCTCCTCCTACTTTTAATTTCACTGATAATTATAAATTTTTTCTTTTGGCTGATAATCTATGTGTTGAATCTATACAGTAACTCCTACGATGGAACCTCAAACCCGTGGCCACATCACTTTGGTAGTTTTGCTGGTCATCACTGCAATCGTCATAGGGACAGTCATCGCCTTATTTCTCTTCAAGAAATCTGGTCGCCGCTTACCTATCCCTGAAAAGTTCTCAACCTTTGACAATCCACTCTTTTTCAACAATGAGCGGTTCCAGCCTGGTCTGGTCGACACCAAGAAACTGGTAGCAAATGCAGAAGAGGAGAACCCTGCACCTGTTCTAACTGTGTAATGTAAATACCAGCAGAATCTACTGGGGCATACAATGTACAATGTAATTTTGATGGCACTCTGACAAGAATTTCATTTTGTTTTGAAATGAGAGATGTTTCAATGTAGCTGGCAATAACTGGCTTTAATGAACAAAATAATTTAAGATGTAGGATGTCTTATTTGATATATAAATCTCCATTTGTAATCATTTGAAATAATGTTTAATTGTATATTTTATGACACCAGAATTTACTGACTGATTAAAGTCATTGATTTATAACATATTTTACTTTAAAGTACTATGCTTGCTAGGATTGTGAAATTTGTACTAGACTTTGAACTTGGCAAAATGAATAACATTCCTGTTGGACTATAAGAAAGACAGTTAAGACAGACAGTATACCATTGCTGCATTTCATCATCCTTGAAGATATTACAGATGACATTTTATCTGTCTAGAAATCCAGTTGAGTCCTAAGACATGTATTGCAAATGAGAATTCAAACTATTGTATTAAAAAAACATTGAAAATAACAACCTTTGTGTATCTACACTGAATGTTTTGGCTGTTTTTCTAACTTTAAAGAGAAAGTTTAATGAATGTATATATAGATGTTTATCTTTACTCAGCTTGATTAGCATATTAGAGTGTTTACTTTTAGTCGACTATTTTTCCAGGCAAAAATAATGTAAATGAAAAAAGAACATCGATTAATCTTTTAAATTCATAATATATTATTTATTAAATGGATTTTTTAAAAAAAGGTTTATTTAGAGCCAGTAAAATAACCTGGAGAAAAAGGAACACTATTAGAGGGAGCGTTTTCTCCTTGATGAAAGCTTGTATTCAACAGATGTGGCTGAGAATTCAAAACTGCATTATGTGTTTTAGATTGTGTAAAGTGGACACTGAACGGTTTGCCCTGGTAATTTCACTTGATCAAAAGAAAATAGCACACATCAGTGGGGCCGTGTAGTGTGTTACACTTGTTTGAAAACTGCATTTTGGCAAACTTTAAACATTAAACCTTTCCTTTTGTCCATCTCTTTTTAATGCTCATCATGTAGCCAGTCCTAAAATCAAATTTGCAGTTATCAACATCTATCTGTCCTGGTGTTTGCTGAGCCGATGGTCAAAACTTCAGAAGAACTGAAAATTCACTGACATCTGACAAGGATAACATGACCAAGGATTGTGATAACGATATCTTAAATCTAAGACAATATCTAATCTCATATCGTGATACTGATATAATTTTGATACATAACCCAGGCACGGACAAGATGCATTTGGAGGCCAAAGATTCTTCAGAGAAAATGTTATGGCCAGATATATTGATTCACCAAGGATTTCCAGACCCGCAGTTTAAGTTCCATGTTGCCAGATTGCTTTGTCTACTGAGTAATTTGTGCAAGCATGTTTCACCTGTTCACTTTTTTAACCTCTTACTCAACACAAATGTTCTCACTTCTCAAATTCACAGAGGACACTTCCTCTTTGAACATAACATTTTTTTTCAAAAAGGACGCAATCGACCAAATTGTACTGTCTAAAACCTTGTCCTAGTTAAATCAACAATATAATGTATAAATCATTTACAGCACAGAAATAATTAAGTTAGTACTTCAACATCGCACCGTTTAATCAAACATCTTGTGTAAATTAGGCATGTGGAGTTACCTTGTATCCATGAAGATATCTTTGTTTTTCTTGCATGCCTCCATGTAAAATGGTGAACATTTTTGATTTATTGATCAATTAAGACAATGTTTAACAACAGCAAAACTATATCAAAACATTTGTTCACAAACTCTTACACAACTCGAGCAGTATTATCCAAGTCTTACTTATGCAGTTGTATGCTCAATACTTCACAAACACATGTATTTTCACTTACTCTATGCTCTCTTCAGAGCCAAAATCCAATACTAACAATACTCTTTGTTGTTGTTGTTTTGCAGAAATGCATGTGTTTGAGATGTACTGAGCATAAGACTGGATAAATGAGACTTGAATTTTACTGTACAAGTTGTGTGAGAGTTTGTAAGGGTCTGTAAACGGACATTTGTTGTTGTCAATCACATTAATATGTTTCCCATTTTCCATGGAAGTGGCTGAGAAAAAAACAAGTTTAGTTTACAAATTCAAAGTAACACAGCATGACTAATTTATTTAGAAATTGATATTTTGTGAGTGAAGTATTCCTTAAGGGGTGTGGGCCAATGAAGACAGACTTTAGCATCAGACTTGATCATTTAGCTGATACACGGTTACCGTGTCGTGTAGGCGTGTGTGTGGATGTGTGTGTATATGTGGAGGAGTTCAGCGCCGGCAAAGAGCGCAGAGGAGAGGCTGCAGGATGATAATGAATTAAACCAAAATGTGTAAAAGCACCAATAAAAGAACCGATAGCGTTAGCGCTCATCAATACTACGGTCTCTGATAATTTAGCATCGGGGCTAATTCAGTACCGGGTTTCAGTACCCATCATTAATCAAAACACAAATGAAGTGAAGCTTGTGGAAATGAAATAAAGTTTGCAGCCACACTGGCTGTGTGTGTTCCACCAATCAGCGTTTCTCAGGAAACAGCCCTGCCCCTCAAGATTTCTGGGAAATCTGAAAAATCCTACCCCCCTACTAGGCACATTTTTCAGGGAAAGTTTAGGGTTGAGGGATAGTTTTTTCCCCAGGTAATTTCGGTGGAGACGCGACAAGGTTTTTCAAAATCCCGGGTAAATGATAAAAGTTCCTACGGTGGTAAAGGGCTTATGAGAGTCCAGCCTGTTTTCATTACAAAGTCATCAAATCCCGACACTTGTCATCGCCCCGGGATGTGATATTGACACCCTTTAGTGTCTATTCTGAAATGGAAAAGACTTTTAAGTAACTCAAATTTAAATCCATCAATACTTGATGCTGAGAGCAGCTGATGTAGTATAAAGAGCAAGAAAGACCACACAGTGCACAACATCAACTCATGTGCATAAGACCAAATAAGTAATGCTACACCTTTCAGCCCACAAGCTCAAACACAATGTCACAATAAGATAGAACTCCACATATGACATATTGGAAAGCCATCTTTAGCAGTAGGTAGCATTTCTGCACTGACAAAAGAGACCCTGAAAAACATATCATGTTGTTCATGGCCATAGCCAGCTATTAATTTATTAATTATTAGATCCCCATTAGCTGCTGGAACTTAACAGCAGCTACTTTTCCTGGGGTCTCACCAAGTTCATCAACCAAAAATGCAGCGAACATAAAATACATTTACATTCATACTCACAAACAAACATGACACAAGAAACTATGAGGTCACCGAGGTCCAGACCTCTGTAAAAATTTTAAAGAGAAAAAAATAGAAGAAGCCCCAAACAGCATGGTAAACATATTAACACACCAGACAGCTTTTATTTTGAAACCACACGCAGGAAGTTATCTGATGTATCGGCGGAACGCAGAAAACTTGAATTCAGTTGACAGGAAGACAACGATACTGCTAGCTGACAGACGAGGTGAGTGAATGACTTATTATTATTAGAATTATTATATTACCGACGACCAAGCAGCCCACTGTAAGTTAAAGTTTAAGAAAAACTTAAGTTCTTGCTAAGTAACATTGATGTTAGAAGCTTTAGCTGTGACACAATGGGTTGAAAGCTACTGGCTAATCATGCATGATGTGAGCTCATTAAGTCAGTGCCATGGTAACAGGTAACATTATTTAACATTATGCAGGTGGGTGTTTATGACCCAATAAAGTTGCAAGAGGTTAGGTTGTGTAGAAACTATATACATACATATATATAAGTGTATGACAAAAATATTGAACTTATTATAATATTCTAAATTATGGTGATGCACCTGTATGTTGTACACTAGATTGAGATGGGTATTTGATATATAATGCACTGGGCACCAAGAGCATCCCTCTATCTATCTGAACACTATTCAGTGACTTGAAGCCTTTAACCACATCAAATAATGTTGTTACATTATGCAGCGCTTTATTCACTTATTTGAAGAGAACATGACCTCACATGTTTGTGTCGTCTATTTATTTGTTTAAAGGGGTCTCTTTACCTCAGTATGTCTCAGTGAAAATGGGTTTCTAGAGTCCTTACAATAGAAAATCTCTCTCCCTCTTCTCTCTCTCTCTCCAAAGACCATTATTGTTGTACTAGACCTACTAGCACAAAGTATCCCGCCACAGAAAAACTATCACCTCACTGTACAGCCTACTATAAAGTAGCTACTATCTAGAGTGTTCCAAACTGATGTTAAAATGCGTATTTTTTTAAGTCAAATAATGTGAACATTTTCTGCAGCTGTGATTTACACCAGAATTTTGTGTTTTAAGCCTGAAACTGATATGGGTTGATCAGAAGTTGCTTTATTTATTATAAATTGGAAAGCTATTTACAGAACAGCTTCAGAATTGAGCTTCAGAACATTTTTATTCACAAGAATATTGTAACTATTTTTACAACTTTTGAAATTAAAGTTGCTATTGTTTAACAATTGTTTAATAGCTTGAGATCAATGGTTTTGAGTCAGATATCTATTTAAAGAACAAAACAGAAACTTCAATGAATAACCTTTAACACAGGCATGCAGTAAATACAAAGTTAAACTATGAACATATGAAGAGTTTTCAGTCTTTATAAGTACTGCCTTTTTTTAACCACACAACTGAATTGTTTCTGCAGGGAAGTGTTTTACAGTGCAACCATGACATGACTGAACAAGCCATTCCATGAAACACAACAAACAGTAGCTAATGTTTAAAAATGTTTTCAAAAGATTTAAAGCATTTGGGATAATTTTCCTTTTGGAGACCAAAAAAAAAAGAAAGAAAAAAAAAAACCAAGATCAGCATTATAATAACTTCCCTGTTGTGAATATTACACAATACTTTCACTGAGACACGAGATGTGTCAGCACTACTGACAGACATTTATACAACTCCTAAATCCTCTGTGAGAAATGCATGGATGAGGACTTAAGCTATATGACATCTCTGAAGAATACCAACAATGAAGATAACTCTAACAGCCTTTGCACTCATCATCCAAACATTACATTGTTTGGCTTTAGACGGTACAGTATTTCAACTAAGATTGATCTAGATGTGCACTCTACTCTTTATGTGAAACTATTGTGTCCTTTACCATGTGTCAATGTGCATGTTGTTGGTGTGTGTCACCTGCGTTACATGAATTCCTGTATATTTGCAACAGTTCAGTATCTAGGTGACTGCAGTTTCATTTATCTATATGTTGCAGACATGAAATGGTTGAAGCTTTGTTTGCTTATTAAATTTCTGTTTATTCTGTTTTTTGTATTATTGTTTAATTATATGAAAGTGACTAAAACAACCCCTGTGATGGACTGTGCAATTAGCTGTAGGATTTTATGATTTCTTCTGCAATAAATATTTAAAAGTGTGTAATTCTTTGTCAACAGATTCACCATTTCAACTGACCAACAAGGACACTGGTTTTTGTTTGGTTAAAACAAATAACCAATGCAATGATATACGCTGGACAACTGGTGACCGACTTCTGGTTCTACAAAAGAAGAAATGCCTGGGAGTCCAGGGGAAAAGTGTGGGGAGTGAAGTAAGCCTCTATGATTGTGACGAAAAGAGCGACCTCCAAAAGTGGGAATGCAAGAATGGAACAGTGCTCGACCTTAAAGACCAGCAGCTCTACATTGAGCTCACTGCAGATAACACAGCAGTTCTCTCCAAAACAGTAGGACCCAATAACCACCTCACAATTACAGGGACGCCCAACGGTGCTTGTACAAGAACAGTTAGAGGTAAAGTATAAAACAGTGTTGTTTTGAAGGACTTGTACTGGTAACAACAAATCATAACCATTTTCACATAATTTCAAATAAAATCACAAAGATGGCACTTTCAGAGATTCTTATATAGATTTACATGTTACCTATATCCAAGAGAAGATCAAACTGGTAAACGACTACCCATATGTTGCTATATACTTCGAATATACCATACAGTCATAATTGTTTAATTATTCTTCATATAAATTGTGGTTAATATGAAACACATTTTCAGAATTCTATCCCGCATTTTAAGTAGAATTATCATCATCAATCATGTTTTGAAGTGGTTTATCATGTGTTGTCATAAGAGGTAATTAACTGAATGTACACATAATCTAAAACTAATCTTTACTTTGTTCTTATCATTCTTAGAACTTTATACTATTGATGGAAATGCAGCTGGACTGCCATGCATGTTTCCCTTCTACTACAAAGACCAGTGGTTCTCAGACTGCACCACACTTGACTCTCCAGAGAAGACTCTTTGGTGTGCTGTTGAAACCAAATATCAAAGTGAACATTGGGGCTACTGCCCAGTTACTTGTGAGTACTACCTGTAAAAACATATGTTCTTTTATACTGTAGCAGGAGAGGGCCATACTTACAATGCTTGAGTATACTGTATTGTCATTATTGTATATAGGAGCCAGTGCTATCAACCTAACTATTTTTTTTAAACTAAGATTTTCTTTAAAAAAGAAGTCAAGCTAAGCTGAAAAGATTCTAACTAGCCTTACTGTAACAGTTATTTTGAAAGAAGCTCGATATGCATCTCAATCTACATCTACAATCAACAGAGAGACACTAGAACACTCTTGTAAACTCAAAACTGTATTTTGAGAAAAAATAAAATCTAAGTTACCAAGTAAAATAACCTAGAACAAACAATTACTAAATGTGCACACTGACATTTCTGCCTTGATTTCACTGATGAATATTACATGATCTGCTCTAAATTTGCCATTCCTCAAATTTTTCCAGTTGCTTATAGGGTTTTAAAAGTTGACAAATCTTGTGAAAAGTCACGTGACGCCTACAGGCACCATCTGATCGAGAACCTACCACTAGCTTGTAGTTAAGTCAGCCTGCATAATTTTATTAAGAGAGAAATATACAGCTTTAGGTTGCAGAAAGAGAGTTTTATACTTTGAACCAAACATAACATAACCATGTTTTGTATATGCATTTATAGCTAAAGATGGCTGGACAAAACACCCAACAACAGGAGCGTATTACCAGCTCAACACAGGAGCAGCTCTGACTTGGGCCCAGGCTGAAGCCAGCTGCAAACAGCAGGGTGCCTCCCTGCTCAGTATCACAGATCCTCATGAGCAGGCTTACATCACAGGTAAGGTAACTCTATACTGAATGTACTGATAAAGAGAGTATGTATTTAGGCAAATACAAAAATTGTAGTGTTATTTGTTTTTCAATTAATATACTAAAATGTTAAAAAGATTATTTTAATATATTTTTAAATGCTATACTTGTGATGGTATCTGAATGTTTGAATAGATACTGCTGTGTTGTCAAACTAAACAGAAACGTTGAGCCTTACTAATATTTACTGACACAGGTAAAGACTGATCTCTTTTTGTCATTGTTGTTTTTCATGTACCCAACAGCACTACTAGGTCGTAGGGGCATTAAGCTTTGGACTGGGCTGATCCTGGATCCACAACATGGCTGGAAATGGTCTAATGGGAAGCCTTACCGCTATCTGAAATGGGACTCAGGTGGGTTTATGCTCAACTTTAATTCTTTGTTTTTCTACTCTGATATACAGTATATTAAAGGCTTATATTAAGAGGAGGTCTTCGTTGCTGTTTGAAATCAAAGCATTCAAACTTTCCCCCCCTTTTCAACTAAACAAGACTGCAGCTGTGGTCAACCCAGCTAGAGAATGAATGAAGACAAGGAGTGACTCTGATGAGATCAAAGCAGTGAATCAGTGAAATATAAACTTATTTTCTGATTGTTTGATACCAGTTACGTTCCAAAGCCCATATAAGCAAAAACTGCAGCATTAATTCAGCCAAAGGGCAGGCTTCATCCTGTCCGCTTGACTCTTCTGCTCTGTGTGTAGCTGTTGTGTAGCTACTTGATCAAAAAGACCTTCCCGTGCTAATTCCCAGGTCATCAAAGGTAAACACGTTGTCATGCCCTCTCTCTATGCACAAGACACCATTTGGTGTCTCTATTTGACACACAGTTTAAAAACATTGTAAAGTGGTTAATCTTATGAAACGGTAGGGGTTAGGTTTTGGCAACAAAACTACTTGGTTGAATGAGTGACGTCCATATATAAATGATGTAACTTTATACTTGTTAAACTTGTTAAAACAACATTGACTTTTGGTTTCACGTGGCACAAACTGCTGTCCTGTTTTGTTTGACCCACCTCCTGCCCTCACTATCGCTCTTCGCAGACTTTTTTTTGCTTTTTATACATCATCATTTGCTCTCGATGTCAAGTATTGCTGCAGATGGGTTTACACTGGAGTTAGTTGAAAGCCCTGTGTGTCTCAAAAACACTAGAAGAGGGGCGTGACAAAAGTGTTGGCATTTGATGACCTGGAAATCAGAGCGGGCTGAACAGACACACAGACCTGCGGAACACATCCACATAGCAGAGGAGAGAGATGGAGACTTCTATTTTATTTTAACAGTGTTGAAATATTAAGCATGAACATGACAACTTGTGGTTCATGGGGGAGTTAAGTGTGAGACTATGAAACCGAGACAAATCTGACAAGCACCGTCTTGTTTTAGGGCATCCCGTTTCTAATGTTGCACAGAACTGTGCAATTGTCAATCCTGCTGTACAGTACTCCTGGCAAAGCTCACTTTGCAGCAAGAAATTTGGGTATATCTGTTACAGTGAAGAGGCCGAGATATTGCCTACACAAGGTAAAGAAGATCTATTCTATTCTGCTCTACACATCCCCTCAAAACTGTATAGCTATGTTATGTATTTGACTAAGTCTTTATATTTAATTTTTCTTTTCATGATCAGCTGTTGAGACAGGGTTTTGTTCAAGACCTTGGATTCCTTACAGTGGCCACTGCTTCTACCTTAATCGTACTCAGAACACATGGTCTGATGCTCAGATAGAGTGTCATACCAAAGGAGCGGACCTAGTCAGCATGCGTGATGTGAAGGACCAAAGCTTTGTCCTGTCTCAACTTGGATACAGTAAGTGAAAAAAAATTCAAATCAAAAAAGGTTTATCTTTAAGAAAGATATTGTTACAACAAAAAACATCCCTTTAATCCCTAAGATCTGGTTTTGATGTGCTGCCCCGAAAAGCTACCTCAAAAAGAATTTACAATCTCCAGTCATTCATTGTCATGTGCTGGGCTGAAGTTGACGTACCCTGACACATCTTTTTCATGATCACTTTAGTTACTTGATGACTGTCTAAACCAGGCATGTCTGAAGTCCGGCCCCGGGGGCCAATCTTTGCCCCCGGACCAATTTTAAACAGTCCTTGGCTTGACTTTCAAAATATACTATATGTGGCCTGCCACACAATATTGGTTAATCAAGCCAGATCACTTTGCATTTTTTCTGTTCACCTCAGGATGGCAGGACTATCTCACAGTAGTTTGTAGACATGTACTAAGTAGAAACTATGCAAACATAACTACCCTTCAAATGCATGGCCTTTGCTTTCCTCTGCACTTTTTCTCTGAAGGCCAGTATTACACTTCTGAAACATTTCTTCGCAATGATGTTAATCACCAAGATGCCAATTTACACGGGACTTCTATCACATGACCTCTGTTTTCGGTCAAATATGGTAGGTCATTTTTAGTGGAATATCTACTTAAATTATGGACATGGCAGATTCACATGGGATTATGATCACACACCATTAAAACAAATTACTAGAGGTATACAGGTAATACTCCTTCCCTGTGAATAAGGCTTATGTTATTATATCCACATTATTGATGATTAGTTATTAAAAACTCATTGTGTTAATATTTTGTGAAAACACCAAAAGTCAACCCGACAATATTATCACACTATTGATAGAGGTATTCAGTCAAAAATATGGTGATAATCGATATTCTCCATATCACCCAGCCCTAATACCATGTGCAGATGAATGAATGAATGAATAAATGTATGAATTAATGAAAAATATTTTCCTTTTGTTCATGTCTGCAGCATCCACCGATGAGCTTTGGATTGGACTGAATGACAGAAAGACAGAGGGACTGTTTGAGTGGATTGATCATTCGACTGTCAGCTTCACTAGCTGGGAATTTGGGAAACCTGCTGTCTCCACTGATCTACAGGATTGTGTTCTCATCAGGGGAGAGGTAAGGAGCATGTGTGGGAATGGAGCACCTTTATGTATATGTACAAAGATACCCTAAAAACAAAGAAAGTGACATCAAATTTCATTTTTTTAAAAATCAGACAGCAGTATGTGTTAAATCGAATATATATACATATTAAAGTAGTAGTAGTAGTATAGTAGGCTTTATATATATACACAACACACACACACACACACACACACACACATATATATGTATACATAGTTGTCAGTATCTAAAACATGACATTAAATTTGTGCAGTTTTAAGACTTTGGCACTTTTGATTGACGTGAGATTTACCAGTGCATCTACTGTAGTGCCTTCCAGTACATCCAGTCTCCAAATAAATAAATATTTAATGGTACATTGTTGCAGAATGGAAACTGGGCTGACCGTGTGTGTGAGGAGAAACATGGCTACATTTGTATGAAGAAGAGTGCCTCAAAACCCACTGGAGATGAAGTGGAGCAGGACGTGGGCTGCAAAACTGTGCGTTAAGTTTACTATCTATTTCCACTAACTGAACTTATATTTATATTTGAACTTCAATGCTTTTGGCGTTTTTTAACTCAGTGTTTTGCAGGAGATAAAGATGACAAGGTATCTTGTGAACGCAGTCTAGCACCAGTTTCAGTGCCAGACATTCTCTCACTGAGAGCAAAATCAAATAAATGCTAAAGGTCCCCCTTACTATGTTGAAAGAGTAGTATGTCAGGGATTTTCTTCAGTGTGTTGTGAAGTTCCTCAAAGTGGTCAAAAAAGTAAAATAATAATAATATTAATCGCTAAATTTAACTAAAATGTTTACCAAACGTTAGTCGACCAGAAAGGCCATTAGTCGGCAAGATTTCATTGGCCGCTTAATCGCAGAAAAAACAAACAAACTTGAAACTCTACTCGGAGCTGCGCCTTGTCAAAATGAAACCCATATGACTGGACCATGTGGGAATATAATTTGAAAGGACAGACACAGGAAGTGGCCACGTTCAGCAGTCAGACAGGCATCCCATTACAAACTAATCACAGCCAACAGATAGTTTTCCCTTCTTCCGTAAATATTCAGTCAGTGATAAACACATTTTTAATTGATTATTTTAGTGCAGGGCTACCCAGAGCTTTACATCTCTCCCACAGACAATAGGCCTACACACTTATAAACAGCTGCTGAAAGATCAGCTCTGCACTCAGGATTTCAGGTAAATAGGCGATACAGTGCTTGTGAAGGTTGCTTAACAATCGCAGACGCAACCTGCCGCCACGCTATTGAAAGCTGGCACAAAAAAGGCACAAGAGTAGAGGCCAAACTCACATTATCCTGGCAGTTAAAGATGTGGCATGTGTATAGCCCCAACAACAATTAACAACACTGGTACCTGCGGTTATTACACAGGCTAGTTAATAACATGTCGGACAGGAAATCCAAAGTGTGGGATCATTTTGAGAAGGTGAAGGACGAACCCAAGGTGATATGTAAACTCATCTTCATTGATCAACTACAAACCTGACGTATCATCTGGAACATGTCAGTAGCTACATGCCCATTAGCCACTGAGCACAATCATTACTGCTTTGCCGGCAGCGTCATTAACAGGCGGCTCGCTCAGTGTGTGACGTGCACTTGTAGATAAAATATAGGCCTATATTAATGAAGGTTCATTAGTATGGTTTTGTATTTCTCTGTAATGTAGCACAGTGTTAACAATGTTACTGATACTATTCTTTCTCACACCTTCAACTCAAACCACTGTGTTGCCACGCCCAAAATATATTATTTCATAATCAAATTATTATAGTAAACATGCGGGCGACTAGTGGACTAATGGCCCTAAATGATGACTATTGGTTGACTAGGAAAATTCTTTGTCAGGGGCAGCCCTTACCTGATTATACTTTATATTGCACTTAGGCCAATTTTTTTTTTTTTTTTTTTTTTAAATATCAACATTTATAGTTTTATAGCAGATTAGAGCATTGTTATTCTTTTGCTGACTGTGGCATATCTGTGAAAAATCATAATTCCAACGATCCAGAGGGGTATTCCAGGTAGGAGGTTCAACAAACTCTGAGTCTATCCCTGAACTCTGAGTTGACTTACTCTGAGATGGGAAACTCTGAGTATCCGGTTCCAGAACAGCTGATCTGAGTTAGTTCAGTCAACTCTGAGTATGTTCACTCTGAGTTAAGCCGACAATAAAAAGCCATCATCAATGGAGCTCCGACTCCACGATTCACCATGGCAACAGGTAAATAAAAGACAGCGCCTCCATTTTAATCCAGTGGATGTAGAGATATTAATGCATGTGTAGCAGACGGTGCATGTTTATCTTTAAAAGAAGAGCCCGAGTCAGAGCGAAGAAAGTGTAAATAAGTTAACCATAAAGTTAATAAAAAAGTTTATTCATCATTTATCAGACTTACATTTCCTTAATGAAGATAAAGTGGTGGAATCTGACTGTGTATCAGGCTGTAGATACATTAGGCTACATTATATTAATTATACAATAATATATTTGTTCAGATTTAATCTGATGGGGAAAAACACAGGAGGCAGCAACTGAAAAATAGGAAGATGTAAAACATATGGGCTAGGCTATAGATCAAAGACATAAAGACATGACTGTAAACTCACAGTCTGTCCCAGTAATAATATGTTTGGTGATTTGCACTTGAAAAGACGTTGAGGTTAAAATACAGTAGATTTTAAAATGTTGCACATCTATTTGTATCTTGACTCAACAGCATTCAGTGTCTTTATTTCAGCTACAAATGTAGTAAATTTAAAGACACTGAAATGCTGCACCATTGCTCACTCAGAAATATTAACATATAATCCCCAATATTAGGCTATAGGAATTATGTTCCATCAGTGCGACCAATGATATCAGTGATAGAGATCATTAGTCATTGCTACTATGTGTCTAAAGCTTCATACCGATTTTTAAAATTTAAATAATTAGACCTACACATTATGTGCAATAAACATTTGGGAGCTGCTCTAACAGACTGACAGTCTGATCCCTGTGCACAGTGTTATAAAAAATAATAAATATAAAAAGGACAGAGGTTTGATTCTGAGCTGAGGGTGAATTCCCGCTGTGTAATATTTGAATGTAAAGACAAAAACCGATGTCCAAAGAAATGATTGATGTGCATAAATTCAGTAACTTAAGACAGTCCTGAGTAACAAACTAATATCCAGAAGGATTTAGACTGTGACAGACGGTAAATCTCCGCTAATGAATGCGCTTTGATACAAGCTTTGACACGGACTGAATGAATGAGGAAATGAAACAGCGTGTAAGAGGGAGGAGACAGAGAAAAACTCAGGGTTTATTGAAGAAAACCTGCCAGAGAGCAGGTTAGGTTCACAGACTCAGTTGCCATGGTGATTGACTCAGAGTTTGATTTACCTCTCTTTCTGGAACTGAAAACCCAGAGTTTCCCTCATTTCAGGGTTAACATACTCAGAGTTTTCACTAAACCCGCTTTCTGGAATACCCCTCAGGGCTGGAGAAGACATGGCTCGTACTGCTACTTCATAGGGAGACAGACCAAAACTTTTGATGAAGCCAAAGATGACTGCAAGAGCTCAGATTCTTACCTCGCTGATGTTTCAAATGGGTAAGAACATTTATTTTTACTCCAAATTTTCTGAGCAGTAGTTCATGTCAGATGTTCAATGTGGGATTTAAAAACATAATTTCGACACAAAGATTTTGTTACTGTACAACATTTGTTGACATAAGAAAGACTGAAATACTAACTGTATAAATTTTTCCAGGGTTGATAACGCATTCCTTGTTAGTTTGGTGGGGATGAGACCAGAGAAGTACTTCTGGCTAGGCCTCTCAAACCAGAAAAACACTGGTCAGTTTGTGTGGACCAACACAGACTCAGTGAGGTTTACTCACTGGAGCGCTGAGATGACAGGTATTGAGATTTTTTTAAACACCACCTGTAAAGTGTGGCAGAAAGTGGCTTAGCAGTTTGCATTTCACCATTTCTCCCTCAACAATACAAGGTCACCCACAGGGCTGTGTTGCCATGACAACTGGGGTTTTTGCTGGTCTCTGGGATGTGCTGCCCTGCACCAATAAGGAGAAATATATCTGCAAACACCTGGCAGAGGGGGCAGTTTTAACCCCTGCACCACCCACTCTCTCCCCTACCTTATGTAAAGACGGCTGGAGTCAAATAGGATCAAGAAACCTTTGCTTTAAGGTATAGTCACATGTACACTAACCTTTTCTATTAGTAGCAATGGTGCCTGGTGCTCAGGAGGGAGGATGGGTCATTCACTAATTAGAACATTGGCAGTTTGACGCCCGGCTCCTGCAGTCTGCATGTTGAAGCGTCCTCTGGACTGAAATGGTTACCGGTTTCACAAAAAAATCGTGATAAAATTCCAGACTGTTATTACCATTTCCAAATATAGTTATTATTAAAACTGTGTTTGATGAATGCACTGAAAAACTCGGTAAATACCGTCTGGCATCAACCAAGTTGACGATACTCTCCCAGTGAGTGTCCCGCCGAGAGAAAGAGAGACGGCGTGCGTGTGATGGTGACACGAAACAGTGAGGCTGCGGCAACTGGAGCAGAAAGTATGAAGCTAATGGTAGCAGTTCAGTGACTGTGCAGTTTAGGTTATTTGTCAGTAAATAAATGCTACAACTCCTCAAGACCCTAGCCAAGTTCCCGTGTCTTGCTTGCCACCTGCTGATTGGAGTGAAGGGAGTTAGTCCTAAAGTTAGCCTCCCTTAAGGTTGACTGTTAAGGTGGACCAGCTTTTCTCACTGCTGTGACAATCTCAGCTACGTTCATACACTGGTAGCCTCAGCCACCGGAGGACTAGAGAGGCATCATCCAAATTTAAGGCCATTTACCATGAACAATTGTCAGGATTCAGGACTGAGACAAGGACAGAGACCAGGGGTCAGATGTAAACGATGCATCAGCACAAAAACCATGTGTTTCGCTTTTCCCATATGTAACTGATATTTACACAGAATGTGCCATAAAAATGTGCGCACTCACTGTGCACCTATTTCAGATCAGGAGTAGCTACATACAGTTTTAGGTAAGATAGCTGCAGGTGTTATGATAAGGAGGAGATTAAAAAGAAGTTGAGAGTTGGGTAATGTAGTATTTAGGTTGTTTGCCAGTTTCACGGGTTGGGTTATATTTTATATAAATGTCCATCACAGGGGCATTTGTAAAATTATTTTTAAATTATTCATGAATAATGAATTGTATCACTTTTTTATTTATGTTGAAGCCATCATATTGCTGTTTCTGATCATACAATTGTATTGTTGTGAGGCACTTTGTAAAGTCTCAACATGAGCACTATGAAAGAATCACTGATCATCCCCAGGGAGTGAGTGCTGCTGTGTGTGTGTGTGTGTGTGTGTGTGTGTGTGTGTGTGTGTGTGTGTGTGTGTGTGTGTGTGTGAGGTAGCCAACTGTACGTTCAGCTATTATTATTCTGTCTTTCTTTCTCCTGAAAGTAACATTAGCAAATTTGTCAGTTGTGAGCTAGACATCTTCAACTTGCGACCAAGATCGCATTTTTGACTCCACAAACATGAAACCTATATGTCTGCGTTCGAAGAGTGTGTCTCTCTGTTGGTATGCTCAGATTGACGACTGGACCCACGGTTTGGGAATGAGAGGGAGGAGTTCGAAAGCCATCTCTATCTGCCTGCTCTCACAGCTTGTCTCTCTGTCTCAGTGACGGACTCAGGATGTTTGAAGGGCAGGAGTAAAAAGGAAAAAAGGGCACCTACTGCATGACATGGGGCCCCATTGATGTGCGAAAAACCAAAATTTGACTCTCTAAACATGCTCAAAAACTCACCAAAATTGGCACGCATGTCAGGACTGGCGAAACATTTGATACAATGAAAAAATTAACCCCAAAATGGGCTCTCTAGCACCACCTAGACACACTAAAATGGCCACTGTGGCCCGTAGGAATGTCGTAGAAAGATTAAACCAAAAGTGGCTTGTTCGTCTCATCAAGACCTACAAATCACGCGCTGACACCCCTGACCTAAATCCAACAGGAAGTGAGCTAGTGCTTCTGAACATAACATGAGCAAATGTGGAGAAATTCTCAGCTGTGAGCTAGAGTAGAGAGGGGTCTAAAATCGTCTAAAACTTTTGTAACTGTCTACGTGAGCTGGAGGCCGAAACGGTGGGAGTCCAAGGTCCTGCCCAAAGCTGCTTGCAGCTTTAATTTCTTCTAATTTTGACAGTAATTTTGTGGTAAGACATTGACTAAGATTCTAATGGGTATGACTGTTAGTAGTTGTAACTGATTTTGTTCAAAAAATGCTAGCTTGTAATTTTAAGGCTTGCCATTGTTTGGAAGACATTTAACATAGTTAGTAGGCTGAAGGAACATAAACAGAGAGAAATGCCGCTGCTAGGTGCATATGGGGAAACACTGAATAGGCACACATACAAAGAGTGCAAAGACAACAAATCAGTGTTTGCTTGTCACACTACCAAACCATGTCAAACCTCACTGTCTTCTGTTCAAGCATTTTGAAGCTTATAATGAGAGAGCAAGGACCTGGTTCCAGGCCAGAGATTACTGTAGGACCATTGGAGGAGACCTGCTCAGCATCCACAGCGAGGAAGAGCTAGAAGTCCTACCGCATAGGTACAGTATGTACCTGGCAAAGTACAAAATTAAGAGAATACAAAGTTTGTTGCAGCAGAAGATAAAGGTTGATTAGTGTCCAGCAGAGCACTGGCAAGTGTTCAGCAGAAGTACTCTTTTAACATTTATCAAACAAGTTTTACACTTGAATGATCACAATAATAATCGTATTATATAATCACTGTCCATTATAGCAGTCAAAATGCCTGGATTGGACTTAATGCCCTTGACCCTGTCACCGGTTTTGTATGGAGTGATGGATCCCCAGTGAGTTAATACTTTTCTACTTCAATAGTTAAAACAATCACTTTTTGGTTAAGGACACTCAATTAAATAGATAATACAATTATGAATCAGTGTGTTTTCTTTGTTTTTGTGTACAGCTGCAGTTCCAAGACTGGGAGGATGGAGAGCCAAACAACAGAAAAAATGTGGAATATTGTGTTACATTCAGAAAGGGTCGGGATTATGAAAGTGGGTCTTGGAATGATGAGCATTGTGAGTCGCAGTATGGATGGCTGTGCCAGATCCGTATAGGTAAAATGAGAGACTGCAACTCTTTCTTTCTCTTTTGTTTGGTTACTAAGTTTTTAAAGAAGAGCATGCCATTCTGAACCTTTGCTGAAGGTTAACTGAGCATGCTTGACCTTCCAACAATGTCTTTGTCAAATTTATATAGGTTAGCAAAAGTTGTTTCCAAATTCAGGGGCTGCAGCCTTTAAAAAGGCTTTGCTGATTTTCAATCTTATTTTCAAGAATTAAAATCAATAAGACAGCAATAAAATAGACAGCTCAGATAAAATCAGGGTATTTATTCATTCATGTTTTGTAACTGCTTATCCTGGTACAAGGTTGCGGGTGTGTGGGAGCTTATCCCAGCTGTCTCTGGGTGAGAGGCGGGGTACACCCTGGACAGTTCACAAGGCTATCACATGAAGATAAAATATAATGCCAAAATTACTAGTTAGGCTTAACATAGAAGACCAATACACTAAAGAATGCTATTTGTAGTATTTTCGGGGCCAACAAGAAGCTCAGTTTTGTCAGAATTTAGTTGAAGAAAGATAAGTGACGTCCAGTCTAACAGTTGCAGAGAGTGTCTAGGTTACTGCAGTTATCCACTTTACTTACATACAAACATATAACTGAGTGTTGTCTGCATAACAGTGTTAAGATATACAATGAAAGCCACTGATTATCTGGCCCAAGGAAAGCATATACAAAGAGAAAATGATAGGACTGAAGATTTAACCCTGATGCACTCCATATAACAGTGGAGCAGATGAGGATACATAGTTACCTACAAAATCCAAAATTATCTATCAGACAGATATGGCTCAAGCCACTCTAGGGCTTTCCCTTAGATACCAACACATCTGTGTAATCAATTATTTCGGGTAGTAAGATCAATCGTATCAAAGGGATTTCTTACATGTGTTAAACCAAAGTGGATTGTTCCCCTCATCAGCCAGCATAAGAATGTCATTTGTGACTCTTTACAAAAGTTTCAGTTCTGTGTTTCCAGTACTTTAGAAATAAAAGGCGATTTTTGAATTAGTCTAAAGTTGTTCAGAGCAGATGGAGAGAGGCCTTTTAGCAGTTGGACACAGATGTACTGAAATGATCAGGGATGTAGCTGGAGCTGAGAGACAGGTTTATAATACTAAGTACGGGGGGGGGGGGGGGGGGGGGGGGGGGGGGGGGGGGGGCACAGGGGGGGGGGGGGGGGGGGGGGGGGGGGGGGGGGTCAATGACAGGTGGGACCTCTTTCAAAAAAAATGGTTGTTAAAATATCAAGACAGGAGGAAGACAGGCACAGATGAGAATTTGTCTCAGTGAGGCTGTTCATGGTAATGGGGGAATTTCAGTAAATTTAGAACACACCTATCCAACTTATTTTCAAACATGGAAGTAAATAGTGATCAACTTCCGTTTTTTTGTGCGTGACTTTTTTTTTCAGTTTTCAGTTGTTTATGTTAGGCAATCAGTTAGTTATTTAGTTAGTTAGTCTGTGTATTTTATATAGATAACTGTGCCCACTTTTCCGTTATAACAGAAATTTATTCCCTCTAAACGCGAATAAATCGCACATCAATCAAAAACTATGAACCAAAAAAGCACAATCTATCCCGAGTGAGACAAACTGCTTGATCCCCGTCTCCAGTGTACCGAAAAAACACACCGGGCTACACAGCCTCTCTACCTGAGCAGCTGAAGCTGCGGCTCGCACCCTCGACACACAGACGGTGCTTCAGCATGCCAGACATGTGCGCAACTGTGAGAAATAAATATGTGAGGTGTACGCTGCTTTTCTATCTTTTTTTTTTTCTTTTCTTTCTTTCTTTCTTTCTTTCTTTCTGTCAGCAACATACACTCCTAACACAGGACGGGTTGTTTCTATTGACTGAGTTGATTATTAAGCCATAGTGATGCGCGGATCGGCTCTGATAGCACCCGAATCAGCATGTACGCATAAACCATCCAGTCGTTACAGCATGACTGAGCTAGCAAAGCAGTTTTGTGTTGCTATGTGTGGTATTCATTCAGTTTTGGGAAATCACGATGTCTAGAAAGCATCAGTGGCTGCAGCTGACAGGGAAGGCTAACAGCAGCAGCAAAGCTAACATCAGGACGTCATCCGTTAAAAGCCTCCCATTGTCGGATACGACATGAAACTACTCCAGTTAGCTCAATCATGTTGTAACTAAGACATCCGCTGGAAAAAATATTTTTTTCACGGACCGTTTATTGAGTTATTGAGTTACAGACACTGCTAACGGCTAACGGCTAACCGCTAACGGTTAGCCCAGCTAATCTACGATAGTCATGTTATTAATCACACACACAGAAATAGTAACGTTTGTTTGATCATTGTGTTTATAGACTTTACAAACATCAGATTAGTCTAAACGGTGATATAGTGATGTGAAAAATGTGAGATATATATATATAATCGCCTTGTTGTTTACCTTGTTGAGTTTAGCTATATATATATATATATAGCTAAACTCAACAAGGTAAACAATAAGGCGATTCCCATTTACACAGTGGTCAAGAGTGCTGGACCGGAAGTGTCGCACAAAAAAACGGAAGCTGGCTGTGTTCTGTTTTGCCTCCGTGTTTCCGTGAAAAATAAGGTGGATAGAGATCACAAGATGTGAATGGGAGAAACGTGTTGGATCTGATAGCGTGGATATTGTTGAAAATGAATAATTAATACAGTTCACAATCTTCAGTTGAGGTCTCATTCGAGGCAAGGTCTATCCGAGAACAGGAGTTTATAGTCAGGTGTAAAGTAAATTCGAGGTCAAGAGTATGGCCTCAGTAATGAGTTGAACCAGAGACATGCTATAACAGGTTACAAGAATCAGCAATGTTTAGCTAGCTGTGGATATTAAAATCCCCTAAAATAATGATTCTTTCATGATTGAGGACAATGGAGAATAGATATCTGGGTAAAAGGCTGAAATTTGGTCAGTAAATTGAAATACTGCAGGCTCGGTTTTGACTTTAACCATTAAAATCTCAAAGCACTGTAGGTTATCAATAGTGACTTGTTTACAGTTAAAATGGTTGCTGTGGGCAGCAACCTCTACCACATCCTCTGCACCTCGGGGAGTTAAACAGAAAAAACTATTCATGAGGGTAGATTTCAAATAAATTGCAACGGTTCCCAGCTTTTAGCCAGGTCTTGATATGCACCACACTCCACTCCGGCAATCATCACACACAAACACACAGCACAATGGAGGGGAAGAGAACCTGGAGCCTGCTCTTTATCATCCCAAAAGCATGCTCTATACTGGAGTGTGAAGCACTCAGCTCCCACATCTCTTACTGGCCTCTTGTAGGGAGTAATGAGGGGGAGTGGGTGATGGAGGCACTAAGTACACCCCGTACGCAAGGATAAAATGTCGTGGAGGAGAGCAGAGTAAAAGGCAGAGTGGGCTTTATAGAGCACTCTGGAGTAGTGGACTTACCAAGGCCAACTCACACAGGTGTCTATGAATTGGCCCTGATGGTTACATACAGCCTGCACTATAATGGATGCGAACAGTTTCCTGTGTCCTGAAGAGCTGGCTATCAGCACCACTTTGTGGCTTGATTTGGTTATGGCAGCCCTTGATTGCAACAGCAGCTATCCCGGAGGCCTTGCTTCTTGCTAGCCGTGCAGACCCATGAGACACTGCCCTCGGGTCCTCTGTGGTCTTCAGGAGGTGGATGACCTGGTGATTGAATGGCCACCACTTCCTTAGTGAATCTGTGGACAATGGAACAAGGCAACCCAAACACTCTGGAAACGACACCGTAGGAAGCCCCACTTGTGAGCCAGAACAGATACACCAGGGTCTCGATTGTTGCACCACATCGGTGTCTTCCATCCCAGCACTGCCAAGGACTCCCTGGAGCCTGTTCTTTATCATCCGAAAAGCGGCTTGAATCAAACTCAGACCGGCCAGTATGCACCACTGCAACTTCAACTCAGCTCAACTCAAATTTATTTATAAAGCACATTTAAAAACAACTCACATTGACCAAAGTACTGTACAAAAGAAATGACATGCTAATGAACGCATACATAGGAGCAACATAACTGTCAGGTACACCGCTTACACATTTAGAGACACAACACACACAGGCATGCATCAGGGAAAACCACATCGGGGGACTCAAACGCTACTGAATAACAGTAGGTTATGGGCCTGGACTTAAAAGTCAATGGTGAGGGCAAATCTGATTGGGAGGGGGATGCTGTTCCACAGCTTGGGGGCAGACACAGCAAAGTCACGATCACCCCTGAGCTTGTCTGGAGCATGGGACAGCCAGGAGCCCCAGGTCAGCTGACCCAAGGGACCTGGGCATAGAATAGGGATTTAGAAGGTCTGAGATGTAGGATGGGGCAAGACCATTAAGGGCTTTGTACACAATTAGGAGAACCTTAAAGTCAATTCTGAACTTTACTGGCAGCCAGTGGAGAGAGGCCAAAACAGGTGTGATATGGTCCCTCCTCTGGGTACCTGTGAGGAGCCTAGCATTCTGAACCAGTTGGAGGCGGGACAGAGAGGACTGACTGATACCAGTGTACAGAGAGTTACAGTAGTCCAAACAGGAGGAGGTGAGAGCGTGGGTGACTATCTGCAGGTCTTTGAGAGAGAGAAATGGCTTGATTTTGGCAATTGTGCGGAGTTGGAAAAAGCTGGCTTTTAATACTGCACTTATTTGTTTGTCAAACTTAAAGGCAGAATAAAACATCATGTCAAGATTTTTGACATGGGATTTAACATAGTTAGAGAGGCTACCGAGCTGGTCAGAAATCCCTCTTTCTCTGCAATGCTCTAAAATGGTTTTGTCTCATCAGAAATCATTAGTTTGAACTGAGCTTAACTACTAACTAACTTTATAACTCTTCCCTTGTTTTTTGCAGCTGGTTACTAGATGATAAGAGTGGCAAAGGGTAGGGGAGAGGACAGAGGGTGATGCAAACAGAAAATCATACGAAGACCAGACCATCTAGGAGACCACTCAGTTTGACCTTTGCAGTCTTCAAAGGAAGCAGCCAACATAGACGGCCAAGGCCACATCCTTTTTAGGCTCCAGCCCCTGAATTGGGACACAGCCATATGCTCAACTGGGCACTGCCAACTATCACTCCAGGGCACTATTAAGTGTTCTAAGTATAATTTTCCTCTGTGTATGTCCTTACAGGGGTGATTCCAAAACCACCTCCAAGCCCTGTTACTCCTGGTAAGTGGGCCCTTTTTTTAATATAACCACATAGAAGGACTGCAAATACATGTTTAGTCCAAGCCTTATTTTCTGTTGTACAGTTTAAATTTGTTACAACCGTTTGTCTCCAGCCATGCTAGCAGCCTTTTGGGGCTATACTTAAGCTAAATGCCAGAATTAGAACACTTACCAATCCACAATGACAACATGTTGATATAAAGCAGATATGTTTACCATGTTCACCATCTCACTGTGTCTTAACCAGCAAATATTTACTGATTAGTCTTGAAGGGAGGTAATGTCATGAGTGCATTGAACAGTTTTTTTTTTCCCAAATGGTGGTGCTGGATATTATGTGACCTCCAAACATATTGTACTTTATCCTAAGGTGAATATGAGGTCTGTACCAAATTTCAATGCAAGTGCAGTTGATGAGACATTTAAATCAAAGCCACAAATGTGAATGTCAGGTTGGCACTAGGGTAAAAGTCAGGGGATCGCAGAAGTTAATAGAATACATCAACTAGAAATGATAAATGTCTGCACATATCTACACAAAATGTTAAAATATGCAACTGGACAAGTAAAAATTTTTACTTGAAGTGCTGGGAGTGCCAAGGGAGTACCCCCAAGCTGGCCACCAATGTTGTTAGACATTGCTATTCAGTTGTGATGTCAGGTGACCAAAATTTGGGGTCAACAAAAGTAAAATGCTAACATCAATTTGATGTAGAATAACGGTGACAGATGATGTTAGTATTTTGTAAGTTTTAGGTTGTGTTGTCAAGTTATCAAAATCCAATGTCTTCCAAACATCTCATGCCAACAACATCCTGACATATAACAACAAAATTTAGTATGGTCAACATGAATTTCATCCCAATCAAAAATTTAACATTTGTCCAACTTAAGAGCCATTTCTTTCTGATTTGATATTGACATCCATTGCCAGCTGGGCAAAGTCAGTAGGACACCAGGAGTGAGAGCCATGTCATTAGCATGTCTAAAAAAGAAACCAAAATCTGAATCTACATATGTAACTTAATAAATCATATATTTCTGTCATGTTTTTAGACTACATTACAAGATCGGATGGATGGATAGAGTGGAATGGGTCTCAGTATTATACTGATACTTATAGTGGAGCCATGGAAGATGCTCGTCGCTATTGCCAACGTGAGCATGGTGACTTGGTAACTATCAACAGTGAAGCTGAAAGTGTCTTTCTATGGAAACAGGTGAGGAATGACATCCTACATTACTGACATTACTCATTAGCTATGACATTCAAGCTCAGACCGTACTGCAATTTAAGAACTGCTGGTTTTACGGTGTGCCTTTGTCTGTGTGTAGATAGACCACAGTTATGAAGATAAGCCTTACTGGATAGGCCTGACCGTAGATTTTGATGGGACATCTGAGTGAGTATGAATTAATAAATAGTGGATTAAAAAAAGAAACCTCAAAGAAAAGTATCAAAACTATGTAACGTATTGCTCTTGTGACCAGTTGAGTCATGTGTTGTCCTCATACACGGTTTATAAAGATGGGCTGTATGACAGCTCCCCACTTGCATCTGAGATATTTTGAAAACTTTTAAACAGCTGCCTGCCATGGCTGGTAAGGAAAAACCAAAACAATGATCCCAAATTGATTACAGAGCTCGTGACAGCTAAGGGGGACTGCAGGTTTGGGTGGCAATTTTGTGTGTTTGCCATTACTATCAACCTTTTTCACGTACTTATTTATAAGAATTGTTGATATAAAGTATTGATTGCTTTAGCTTCAATGAAGCAGTTGAATTAGTTATTCGAACAAAGAAGAGTTGAGCTTATTACAACAATTTATAACATAAAAAATCCAAGATAGATATCAAAGTCAAATTGTGTCATGGATTTGCCTTTTGAGTTTCAACTGATATCTACTGTGTTCCAAAAAGGTGGATGGATGGCTCTCCAGTGGTGTTTCAAAGGTGGGATGAAAACCAACCTGATTTCAAAAACAATGATGAGAACTGTGTTGTCATGACTTCATCTCTGGGTGAGTAACATAAAATTGATTCATCTTAAAAGGCATAATTTCATATAATGAATTTTTATAAAGAATGCACATTGTCTTTTTTATTTCTTTCATTGACTTTTTGGGGCTTGCAGGCTTCTGGCATGATTATAATTGTGGGTATGATCACAAGTTCATTTGTAAACGCAATGGCTCAACATCTGCCACTTCCAAGGCCACTGTGAAATCAACAGTTCCTCCAAATGGTGGCTGTCCACAAAACTGGAAAAAATTGAACTCAAAGGTTAGATGTCACTTTTAAGTTTTATAGTTGTTTGTTAGAATGGGAATACGACTGATGTTGCATGAAATGGGTCTTCAATTACACAAAACATTAATTTATATTTAAATAAAAATCTCAGCTACCTCTCTTCAAAAAAAATCACACAAAGCTGTTGATTTTTTTTTTAACCTATAGTGTTACAGCATCATTAATAGCCAGAGAGAGACGTGGTTTGGAGCAAGAACACAATGCAGATCAATGGGAGGAAATCTCGTCTCAATTCTCTCAAGACACGAGCAAGGTGTGTTTTGTTTGCTTTTTCATAAAACTTCTCAGAAACAGAGCCATCGCAAAAATGCCCCGTGGTGGCCATGGCTGCCATTTTACTTTCTGCCAAAACTGAATAATGTATTTTTCATCATATCTTCTCAACCACACATGGTAATACAGAATAAGTGATGTCTACCTCTATGTTTTAATGGCCATAGATTACAATTATAGGTGAAAGGTGAAAAGTTAAGGTTGAATTCAGTGAAGCGATATGAGAATCACAGTATCTAAGAACCTAGGCTGGACTTTATAACATCATGTCTGTTGCATGCATGCTGCAAATAGCTTAATCCTTATGTTTATTAACCCTGACAAAACAATGACTGTAAAGAGTAGAACAATATTCAACATGACCATAGCAACTTAACTAAAATAATGTATCAAACACAAAGATTTACTCCAAAAAATGTATTTCATAAATCTGTTTATGTTGATGTAAAACCTATTCTTTACTTTCTCTTTCAAGCTTTATTTATAGTAGGGCGCTCCATTCTTTTGATGAGTGTTGTTTGACAAAAATGATATATTTTGACAGAAAAACGTAAATGATAAGATCATTATGTGTTACATTTTCAGTGTTTTTGGCTAGTAACATGGTCGACCTACCTATCACAGCCCTGTGGATTGGTCTGTATAAAGTAAATGACAATACGTTTCTCTGGACTGATGGGAGACCAATGCAAATCTACAACATGGAGAGGGAAGTAAGTGGACACTGTGATGTTGCTTGTATTATAATGTTAAGTACAAGAGTTAGGAGCTGCACTATTAAGACACTCTTTTTTCATTAAAATGTGACTTTCTCTACTGTCTTAGTGCTGCCATGTTACAGTTACAGTGATTGAGGATTTTTTGGGGTAGTTAACATTTTTAAACTTCACTGTACCTTAGGCTGAGCATCGAGAATATTATTAGAACAAGTTTCAAATTTCTGATTACAAAGAAATTTAGAAGGAATCATGCAGTTAGATTTTGATTATGCTTATCCCTTACTGAACAACATACTGGCGCTCTTTCTGAACTGAAAAGTGCTGTGCAAAGGGATATTTTTTTTGTTTCTTTTATTTTGTTTTGTTTTTGAGTATGGGTAAAGCCGTGCGCCACTGACGGAAGGTTTTCTTATCTACTCCAATTGCCAACACCTCTCTCTCTCTCGATCAACCACACACACTAGGCACTGAGCTTAGCTATACTCTTAAAACAGCAGCCATCATTCTCAACCCCGTTTTTCCTTCAAGACGCAGTGAATGTTATTTTGCTTTTCAACTGCTATGGTGTTTATATGAATTAAACAAGCAATCCTGTGTTTGTCTTTGAGCGGTATGCCCCGAAATTCACGGGACTGTAAGAAGAGACAGACACAGGCAAAGTAGAGTGAAGTCTTGGAAAGTAAGAGCAGACTTAGTTATATTACACCTGAATATATGTCTAAAAACTTATTTGAATGTTTTTTTTTCCTTTACTTTTTTGAGCACTGGACTGATCAAGTTACTGGCTAATTCTGCTTACTGGTCAGATGTAGGTTGGACCCTGTGACCTTTTGGTGGATTTCAGTTATATTTGCAGTGCAGTGGATGAAATCAGAAATTAACATTTTACCATAGAATTATATTTAATAAGAACTAAATTCAAGAGTGTGAAATTAATTTACAGGTTGCATAAACTGTATGAATTAAATTGTGAATCTGACTATGAATGAATATGTCCTGTGTGAAAGTTTTTTTTTTTTATTTTGTGAATTGAGCATCTGACCTGTTTTGATCCCGCCCCTCAGAAAATTGGAATTGTTAAAATCCAAACGATAACTTTATTTGGTGTTGTGATCAATTCAATGCATCAGTATGTTTGTAGCATAGTGATATTGTGGGTATATTGCTAAATATTCTTCTATCATCCTGATTTTCCATTGCAGTGGTCTTATTACAACAGGCATCATAACAGTGAGGTAAAAATGTTTTGATACTTTGGATGTCATATGCAATGCCACTTCATTTGTCTTAACTTGGAACAAAATACATCACATTTATGTGAAAAGCTGTGGTTATATCACTGGTAAACACAACTTTTGTTCATAATTCTGATTAATTATATCCTTCTTTAGTTTTTGTAACATATTTTCTGTTTGAGTATTCATACAGATTTATTATTGGTTCCCTTGCTATGTTTTTGTGTTCATTCATAACAGTGATTTATATGTGTATGCATACGGTCAGTCACCCAGATCATAAAATGCTTTGCGGTCTACCTCACAATCACTGTGTTTCACCAGACTACATGTGGTGCGATGACCAACGATCCCAACAGTGGTATTGGAACGTGGATGAGAAAGTCCTGCAATGACACCTATGGATATATCTGTCTTCGAAATGTTGGTGAGCCTATTCTCTGCCTTTTCTCTTCAATGCATTTTATTTGGCCTAGAATTATTTTAATATGCAGGGACTGACACAATATTGTTGGCACTGCGCATGCATTGGCGTTGTGTGTGTTTATCAGTAGCTCTGACATGAACTGACTTTTTATCTAGTATTTATCCAGTTTTTAAGGTAGTCCTTTGTTATACTATTATTTCCTGGCTGTTTTTACACATGCATTGCAACAAAAGGGAAAATCTTTTATCCATCAAGTAGTCAGTTTTTAAGTGTCATTTAAGTGTCTAGTGCCCATAGCCTGCCAAGGCTAGTCCAACCAACTTGCTTCTAGCATTGAGAGCCAAAATACTCAAGGGGAACTGCAGATACTGGATCAAGATGAGCTACCAACTGTTGACTGAAGCCTAAACTCCACAGCGGGTTCACTTGTTGGATCCCTGACGGCAAGTTTTGCTGCTTGCTGCCCTGTTGGTGGCTCTGTCACTGCAGCTAAATCCAGAACAACGCTGTGGGCTCCGGGTTGAAGCCCCTATGTATAAGTGCCTGTAACCACCTTGGCAGCAGCTGATACAATTAATAACTGGTTGCTTACTTTTAAACTCTTATGCACATTTGGCATTGTACTGGCCTACATTTTTAGCCATCCCATCTACAGTCCATGGCTCCACTCACCTCCCCGGCTGGCTGTGTAGGCTGGGCTCGCCTGGCGGGCAAAACAGCAGAGCTGGAAAAAAGAATATCCACACTTTTCAGAAGATTGAGGAGTTCATGGACACAATCATTTTTGGTCCAGCACATACTGACACAACCTGTGCCTGACTGTGTGATGCCTGTCCTTCAGAGCCTCTTACCACTCACTGCCCTGCTGCTGACGCTTGTCCTCCAGTCATCATCCATGATGACACCTGGACACAGCTTAGGGCCAGACCTAAAGCCCTGATCAGCTCTACACCATCATCATCAGCCCTAGTTAGTGGCAGGTGCTCGCCACAGAAGAGGGAGGCGCTTCTCTCATGTACCTCATCAATACAACCTTAACCTAGAGAATAAACATAACATCCTGGACGTTCATGAATTCTGTCCTTTGGCTGCAGAGTCCCGGACTCCTCCTCCTCTAGCTCTTCAGGTGTCCAGTAGGTCTCACCGTTCACTGCGCCTCCGTTCCCTCCACCAGCCATACCTTAGCAGCACTCCCCTCACAACAGAACTCGTCGCTCCACACTGCTCTTCACAACAGCGCTGCAGTGAGCTTCTGCCCCATTCTGTCCATCCTTCTCCATCCACTGTTTCATCACTGACTGCTCCCCCTCAAACCACGCTCTCTGTCCGCTGGTGGGAGTATGCCCACCTGTGTGTGCGCGCAGGTGTCTGTGTGTGTGGGGGCATCGGGGCGGAACTCCGCCGTGCGCCATACGCTGCAGAGGAGAATTGTAAATGTGCAACCATGTAGAGACAGAAACGACATGCCGTTGTGTAAATAAGATAAATAACACAAGGCTATTTAGTTTGTTTAATAAAAGGACAAGGTTTTGACCTCTTCGATTCCTCTTCCTGTCCTTATTCACAGACATTTCTATTTTTATACGCTGTAGCCTGTTATATAGAGGTGTATTAATACATTTTTGTTTTGTCACAATAAAAGGCTCTACGTGGGATTTATATCTTGTTATCAGCAGGAACAGATAAGTAGGCACTGTTCATCAACTTATATGACGTATATATGAATATGACAGCAGCGGTAGTTGAACGTTTACACGGCAACAAGTAAAATGGTCTCGAGGGCTGCCTATCAGTCGCTTGCAGTCACAACTTTATGTGATGACAGTAAATACATCACACAACGTAAAGCTGAAGTTTGCGAGGGCTCAGTCCAGAGGGTGGACATCTGGATTCAGCCACCAACTTGACCGCAGCTTGTCATCGCCTCGGCGCCACGGCGCAGTTCATCTGGAACAAGCCTACTGAGGAGTGAAGATCCTTGCAGTTAACTGATCACTCACTCTCAGACTTTCCTCCTCTCACACGCATTAGCCTAAACTGGCAGACTCGCTCTCTGTTTTTACAACATGAAAAAAAAAAACACCCTCAAATCACGGGTCATGCACGAGCAAGTAGTTGTAAAAAACACTCATACCGACTCCAAACATCAGTGCAAATGGTCGCAATCTGGAGCCTTGACTTCAGTTGTTATCTGGCGCTATATAGAAAATAAAATTAAATAATATTAACTTGGGGCAGCACGGTGGTGTGGTGGTTAGCATTCTCGCCTCACAGCAAGAGGGTTGCCGGTTCGATCCCGGGTGTACGGAGTTTGCATGTTCTCCCCGTGTCAGCGTGGGTTCTCTCCGGGCACTCCGGCTTCCTCCCACAGTCCAAAGACATGCAGATTGGGGACTAGGCTAATTGGTGACTCTAAATTGTCCATAGGTGTGAATGTGAGTGTGAATGGTTGTTT